TAATCCCTAAACTAAATGACCAACCAAGTGACCAACTAATACTCCCCAAATAGACTACTGCTGCTGCTGGACCGCTGGTATTGACTATCGAGTATCGACTACTGCTGTCGGCTTCTAAGTTCTATCGATTAGGTCGCTTCGCTACTCGCTACTCGCTAACAGTCAGTCACTCAAGTTCTATCGCTAACAGTCACTCAGGTTCTATTTTACATAACTAAGAAGCCCAACTAAAAAGCCTAAGTAAACACTAAAAAGGGAGCCCAAAACGCAACATACATGATGCGCTGATGCCTAAGTGATGCACGCATCGTGTGATGCGTAGGTGATGCGTTCGCATCATGGAATCGCATCGCAWCARMCTCKTTGATGCGTTCTGTCCAGCGCATCAGAGCGCATCACGCATCAGAGCGCATAATGCGCGCATTTTTAAACCAAGGTCTAATTTGACATAAATGGATCTAAATGTGTTATAACGAGTCATGGTGGTCCTTGAGATCTCGTTTTGGTATTTGTGGCTATAATGGTTCTTATTCTCGTTAATTGTTTTAAGTGGGGCATAAGGGACTAAGTCGGTCATAATGTGTCCAATAAGATCAAAATGGATCAAATTGACGTATAATGGGTCTTAGAGGTCCTAAAAGGGTCCTATTCTTTTTAACGGGTCTAAAGAGACATAATAAATGCAAGTAGGTTATAATGTGTCTATTAGACCTAAGTATATAATGAGTCTTGGTTGTTCTTAATGGGTCATTAAGGAGTAATTGTGTATAATGTGTTATCCTCTTTAATGGGTCATATGACTAAGTGGGTCGTAATGTGTCTAATTAGACATAAATGGATCTACATGAGGTATAACGAGTCTTACTTGTCCTTAATGGCTGGTTTTGGTAATTTTTTTTGCTATAATGGGTCTTATTCTCCTTAATGAGTCTAAATGGGACTAACTGGGTTATAATGTGTCAAATTAGACCTATATAGATCTAATTGAGGTGTAACGGGTCTTAGTGGTCCTTAATGACTCGTTTTGGTATTTATGGCTATAGTGGGTCTTATTTACTTAAAAAGTCTCAGGGGCCGTTTACCAAATGCTTACCCAATAAGTGCTTACCGGTAAAATTTAACACTATTAGTTACTTACCGGGTAAGATTTTAGTCCATCAAAACGACATTATATGCAACAATTCATCCGGTAAGCGGCAAGCGCTTACCGTGGTAAGAGTCGTCGCCCTCACTTACCGGGTAAGACTCATGGTCCTTGTCTCGCGCTTACCGGGTAAGACTCATGGTCCTTGTCTCGCGCTTACCGGGTAAGATTTATAGTCCTTACCATATTCATCCGGTGAGGTAATATGACTTGGTAAGCGCTTACCCGGGTAAGTGTTTGGTAAACGACCCCTAAGTGGGTCATAATGTGTCTAAGTAAACCTAAATGGATCTAATTGAGTTATAACGAGTATTAATGGTCCTTAATGGCTCATTTTGGTATTTGTGGCTATAATGGGTTTAACGAGTCTAAGTGGTCATAATGGGACTAATAGACCAAAATGGATCTAATTGAGGTTTAATGGGTCTTTGGGGTCCTAAAAGTGCCATATTTTTCTTAACGAGTCTAAAGAGACATAACAAGTGCAAGTAGGTTATAATGTGTCTAATTAGACCTAAATAGATCTAATTGAGATGTCTAGTGGTCCTTAATGCGTCATTTTGGAATAAATGGGTAAAATGTGTCTTATTCTCTTTAATGTGTCTAAATGGATCATAGTAGGACTAAGTGGGTCATGATATGCCTAATTAGACATAAATTGATCTAATTGAGGTATAACGAGTCTTTGAGGTCCTTAATGGATCGTTTTGGTATTTGTGGCTATAATGGGTCTTATTCTCCTTAACGAGTTTAAATGGGTCTTATTCTCCTTAACGAGTTTAAATGGGTCATAATGGGACTAAGTGAGTCAGAATGTGTCTAATTAGACCTAAATGGATCTACAATTCTGAAGAGTGAAGAGCCCCAAGTTTCTGCTTGATAACGATAGTAATCTACAATTTTGCTGAATCATATCACATATATTTCAGTGACATAATGACATGAAATGCTTTCTGACATTTTCCATGACCGTATATGATCTAAATGACATCTGTTCTTTCTTAAGGTCATGACACCAAATCCTGAATTTGCAACAGTGGACACAACAATCCTTGAAGCATTGCATATAATGCATGATGGAAAATTCTTACATCTTCCGGTTGTAGACAAAGGTTAGCTTTACCTTCTAACTAGCAGAATAGTTATCAATTTGCTTCATCTTCTTATCTTTTTTTCCGCAGATGGAAGCATTGTGGCATGTGTGGATGTCCTGCAGATAACTCATGCAGCTATCTCAATGGTAATTGTAAAGTTGTTATATCTGTTTACTATTTGCTGCTTTATTTTGTGTACTGTAATATCATATTAATCTATAATCACATAGCATTAGGCTAGGGAAAGAAGATAGTAGTCGTAAAGGGATATATGAAAATCTGGCATATATGTCATAATTTGTATCCATTACCTCTACAAGCTGATATAGATATGGAAACCTTACTTTTGAAAATTAAGCAAAAAATATAAATGCTCATTGTATAAATGTTCTTTTATCAATATATTGTCATCTAATTCTCATATTTAGTAACCTGTAAATGTATACAATATCTTTATGGACCAGTATCCCATGAAAAGGATATCTTTATATATAATGTTAGTGGATTTGGATATGGATATGATCACATCTAATCTGTACCTATCTGTTACGCCCTTTTGGTTCTAGTGTCTTTATTTGTTCGATGTAATCAATTCATTAGGAATCATTGCCAGTTTAGGTTAGGGGTGTTCGCGGTCCGGTTTGGGCGGTTTAAGCCCTCAGACCACAAACCAAACCGTAATGGCGGTTTGTGAAATTTCCAGACCGAGCGGTTTGAAACCAAGTGCCCAGACCGGTCAAACCAGACCACGAAAAGGCGGTCTGGTCTGACCGGTTTAGGCGGTTTGKGYCTTTAATRGRCTTTAAATATGTTCTTCACTTTCKTTTACAAATATGTTCTTAAGGGATTTAGACTTCTGTTTCGTCGCTTTCGTTTCCACGGCAAGCTACTAGACTAGGGCAGACGACAAGTCGGCAACGGCAGCTAGACTCTCTGTCGTTTCTACTTTCCAATCCAGCAAGCAGCAACGGCAAGTCGGCAAGTTTGTTCGATTTCGATGAATTAGGCGACGTTCCGACGATTAGAAAATAGTGAAATACCGAAATAGAGGTGGATTACTGGATTAGGAATTACCGAATTAGGGATTTAGATTTAGGGGATTTAAGAAATCTTTTTGGATAAGGCTTTATGTTTGGGCTAATAGCCCATAAGGTATAAATTAAAGTTGAGCATTTAATTGGGCTTAATAATTATAATACTAAAATAAATATATATATATATATATATATATATACATATGGCGGTCGGGTTGGTCCAAACCGCCCAAAAAAAAGTCTAAACCGCAGACCGACCAGACCGCCCGGTTTTCGCTATTTTTCAAACCAGACCGGACCGCCAGACCGCTCAAACCGCCAAAAACGGTCCGGTTTGACTTGGTTCGGCCGGTTTGAACGGTCCGGCGGTTTTTTTGAACACCCCTAGTTTAGGTATGTATTTTAAGTCGAGTAGCACCATATATCTCCTTATTTAAGTTCAGTTTTGCCTTTTTGTTTACTGGCTTTATAAACTTATGTGTGCCTGTGGACAAGCTCAATGCTTTTCCTGCTTCAGTTGGCTCAAAACAATCTTCTTTTAGTTTCTCACCTGTAGCCTGCTTGCGTGTTTATTTTATTTTTGTTTGCAAGCCTGGGGGGTTCTTTGCGGGAACAACCTCTCTACCCCCAGGAGTAGAGGCAAGGTCTGCGTACATCCTACACCCTTGACCCTACCTCTATGTGGGATTTTACTAGGTTAGTTTGGTTTGGTTTGGTTTTATCCTCAACCAGAATCTTTAACCTTGACACTTCTCTGGGCATTGTTATATATTTTTGTTTAAAACTCGTTAATCATCTTATTATCTATAACCATCAAGACCATGCCTTTTTCTCATCATCTAGACTTGTACTCTACCTTGGTTAGTTCTGTAGGTGCTTGAAACTCTTGCACTTTGTCAAGAGATATTGGATATTTTACACGAAAAATGGTAGTTTGATGAACATGAGTACTAGACGTGGCAGGTTGAAGCAGATTCTGTAATGGGTCAAATAAGCGGGTTGATCTGGGTAAACTATGGGACATATCAAAGCAGGTCTTGGTTTGAAGATTATTAGACTGAATGTACTTGAGTGTAATTAGTATAATGTAGAGGGCTCTCCTATGTAATTAATATCTCTATAGATAGAGACCTATTGTAATTAGGTTACACACGAAAATCAATACACAAAAACCCGTCTGGTTTATCTTGGTATCAGAGCCAAGTTACCAAAAACCCTACCTGCCCTCTTGGTCACGCCACTACAAGGCTGATCTTTACAAACCAATACAACCATTAGAATCGCCATTACAGGCGATCCCCATACCAAAAATCGATCAAAACCCTGCTATTAATTTGCCGTCCGCTGCTGCCGCCACCGCCGCCGCTGCCGCTGCTTCTGGAACCCTAATTTTCAGATTCAATCTTATTTTCTTTTAAGGTACATTACTACATCATGACTCTAATAGCCTCTTTCACAACAGTGGAGAAACAATCTCACAATTCACACAAGTTTGCTTTTACCCTAACTCCTACAAACTATGGTTATTGGAAAACAATGATCCAACCTTTTCTTGTCACAAATAACCTATTCGGATATATAGATGGATCAATACCTTGTCCATCCAAACATCTCCATCAATCACAACCACCTTTAATCCACAGGCTGCCATTGATCCAAAAGATAACCCTAATTTCCCGATTTGGATTTGTAATGATGCTCACATTGACATGCTGATTATCTCCATCTCTGAAGCCTCTTTTCGACATGTCCATGATGAAACTTATCGTGATTGATGGTTTGCCCTATAACGAGCCAATGCCCCTCACACATCATCCAGAGAATATACATTGAAAACTCAACCTCAAGATTCAGATGAAAGGTAATGAAACTCCATAGGCTTATCTCAATCGTGCACAGGAGTATGCAGATGCTCTAGCTGCCATTGGTGAACCTGTCAAAGATAAAGATCTCGTTATGCTTTGTAGTTTCTAGTCTCCATGAAGAATACAACGGTCTTAAATCTACCATCACCGCACGTCAATTCCCGATTGCCTTCAATGAACTTCATGCCCTTCTCAGTGACCATGACTACATGCTTGGGAAAACTCAAGCCTCTACTTCTGTTTCTTAGGCTTTTGCAGCTATAATCGGCAATTCTGGTTTGTCACAACCTTCTGCCTATCATCATCAACAACTTGCGGTTCAGATCAGTTCCATTGCATCTACCCTTGGTTATCAGTTGATGTCTGCTGCAACTTCATGCCCTCAAGCTTTCTATGGTTCTTGTCAGCCACACAACAACCGTGATAATCATCGTCGTGGAACTTCTCGTGGTAACAGCCTTGGACGTGGCGATGGTCGCCAATTTAGCTGGGCATCCAATCAAAACACAGTATACAGAACTTGTAACCGCTGTGGTATTGGACACCTCCCATCACAGTATCCTAATCGTGATCCATCCACCATTCGACCTCCCCATCTACTGAATCAACTTCATGGTTCCTTGACACAGAAGTGAACAGTCATGTTACGCCTAATTTAGCAAGCATAGATAACTCTAAAGCTTACTATGGTAGTGACGCTCTCCATGTTGGTAATGGTAAGGGATACCCTATACTTCATATTGGCTCCTCAACCATTTACTCACTACACAAACCCTTTTGTGTATCGAATAATATTCTTCACGTACCAGAAATCACCAAAAATATTCTTTTTGTCCAGAAATTATTGTTTAGATAACAATGTTTTCTTTGAATTTCACTCCACTTTTTTTGTCGTGAAGGACAAGTCTACAACACTACCCTGCTTACTGCCCAGTAAGAATAGTCTATACTCTGTTCGTCTACCCCAACTCAAGTCTATCAATAAAATCGTTTTTGCTGCTGATCGTGCATCCTCTACCATTTGGCATAGGCGGCTCGGTCGTCTACATCAACGTCTTTCATTTTATGCTTTCTAGATTTCCTATTCCTACTATAAATAAGATGTTACCTTTTTGTACATCTTGTCAAATGGGCAAATCTTCAAAACATTCATTACTTGTTTCATCCTTTTGAAGTAATAAAATTTTAGATTTGGTTTATTGTGATGTTTGCGGTCCTTCACCTATTCTATCTTTTAAAGGTCATCGTTACTTTATGCGATATGTTGATCATCATTCTCGTTATATGTGGATCAATCCATTGGCCCAAAAATCAGATGTCTACAACACCTTCAAAGGTTTTCTTACCATGGTCGAAAGACAATTTACTTCAAAGGCCAAAAACGTTCAAACTGATTGGGGTGGTGGATTCTGATATCTATCTTCCTTCTTATCATCCTTGACATTCTTCATCGCCGTTCATGTCCACACGCTAGTGAGCAAAACGGCTTCGTGGAACGACGCAATCGCCATGTTGTTGAAATTGGTCTCACTCTGCTTGCTTAATCCAGTGTTCCTCAACATTTCTGGCATTACGCCTTCAATATAGCTGTATATTTAATCAATTACATGCCTTCACGAATCACAACAAACAAAAATCGAACATCTCTTCAAATGATCTTCGGATTACTCCTTTCTTCGGGTCTTCGATTGTCAATGCTTTCTTCACCTTCGACGTACAACCATCACAAAATAGACTTTTGCTCGACCCCTTGAGTCTTTCTTGGCTATAGTCCTTTCCATCATGGCTATCGTTGCCTTGACCCGTCTACCGAGCGTTTATACATTGCTCGTCATGTTCACTTCAATGAAGACCACTTCCCCTTTGCTATTCCTACTGTCCCCACTTCCTCACCTACATCATGATGTCCCTATACCTCCTCAATATCACCCCACATGGTAACTAACAATACTCCACGTGTCGTTCCATCTCCTGTAATACTTGATCCGCCCAGTTCACCACATACTTTCTCGCCCATCTGTAGGTCTTCTCCTGAATCCACTTCCCCTTTACACCATGATCCAGATACCAGTGGTTCATCTCCATTATCATCCATTTCTTCATCTCCATTACCACCACCGCCTCTGCCTCCTCCTCCTAGACAACGTCCTCCCGTCTGGCTGGACCCTAAACAACAAGTTCCCTTCAATCCCTGCTAATCATACCACCACCACTTCCGCTACACCTATTGAGCCAATCTCGTTTACC